GCACTGTGCTTTTAGCTAGCAACAACAAACAACTTCTCGATCAACATAGTGTGTGGTTCTAGCGTCGCCATGGTAGCCACTTCATCACCCCACTGCCGCGCAAAGAGCTATTTCCGGGTTACGTAAACTGTACCGATTAAATATTAAAATCAAATTCTGCGTTGCTGTCCGTTTTTCCATTTCGTATTCTTGATCTGAGCTTAGAATTGATATATGAAAAACAAATCCTTTTTTCGTTTTTGGTTTAACCATAAAAAACAAAATAACCAGTCAATTTTTTATTTTTTGTTTTTTGATTGGCAATTGAAAATAGAAAGAACGAATGATACACGGATTCCTTTGCTAAAAAATAGACAAATATATTCAAACATCCCTGCTTTCTAGATAAAAAGTATAGTCGATAAAATTCTTTCAGGTTTGAGTTTTGGGTGAACATCTTTTCAATTACTTACCTACTTTTATCAGTAATCATTCTGAATAAAATGTATATTTACAAGTACTAATATCTGCATAAATGTATTGTTTAATAAGTTTTTATCAAACTAGTTATTTATCTATTATTTTTCTGAAGACCCCTAGATGAGTTGCAGAGATGCATCGTTTTCTCTTGAACCCATAAAACTCAAAATCTATTTCTGAAAAGAGCAGGAATTCTCTACTGATCATCTTTAACGTTGATGTGCAGAATTAACCACCGGGTTTTTGTTGTCAAGTAATTGTTAATATATGAAAAAATTAAAATGTTTGAATATTCCACTTGAGAGTTTTACTGTTGCCACCATCTGTATTAGAGCAATAAATGGTAGGGGTGCCCAATGATTGACAGAGGGTGGCAACGGGCACCCCTGGCCCCCCATCTAGCTCCGCCTCTGGTTTGATCCACACTGCACCTGTTATTTTTTAATTGGGCGCATTTTAATTCTATTTTAGGATTTCCAAATCGTTGCATATGTATCTATCTCAGTCATTCCATCAAGATTATTAAAAGATTAAAGATCCTTTTTTTTTTTATTCAAAAGATTGAGTGCAGCATTAATATCAAAGCTTCTTCCCAAATTTCCAGTTCCGTTTCCAGGAACCCATGAAATAACCTGAGATCTGAACCAATCAAATGGTTCATTTTAATTGTGACGTCACAGGATTGAGCCAATCATACTGTCCGCTGATCTAGGCCTCTTTTTCTTCTTAATTCACACACAAAACAATGACATTCCTAACAGAGGTTCATTTGTGTGCTGCATGTCTGCAGTTTGGAGACAAGGAAACACCCGGAAGGGAATATGAAGAGCAGATTGAAAATAATAGAGATCTTCTGTTACTTTTATCCAACTTCAAACCTTTTGGATTCATTTTCAAGTCCCAGTGTTTGCTGCAGAACAGCTGAATCATGTCTTACATCTGGAAAATTGAAATTGTCATATTTCTATTGCAAATTTTGCTTTCAAGATTTTTTTCTTTCCTATTTACTTTTTTTTTTATTGAACAGTTCTGAACACATACAGTGGAGAGGAAACAAAACATTCAACTTCATATACAATGTTGGACAACCGTGACCATATTTATCTGGATACAAGAATGGTATTCTCCTTTAGTCGCTCCATTTTTTCCATTTAACATCAATTTCTTATTTAATTTAATCCCCACATGCTGGACCAACAGACTGCTGAACTCCTCATTTTGGGGAAGGAGGTGGTGATAGGAACGGACAAAGGTCAGCACCCCCCCCTTCTTGGACATCTTATGGTAAACATTACTTATCGTAACTCATGTGGAATATTCTTTCACTGTGTGGCCTTTGTCAATTTTTTATTTTTTCCCATTTATAAGGTCAGTGCAAGTTCAATAATCTAAGTCAACTATTGTATAGTCTGTTTATTTTCCCCTCATTTATAAGGTCAGTACATTTCTGCAGCATAAGTGCAATAACCCAAGTCATCTACTATGCAGATATTTTTATTTTTAAAGGAAACTTATTCCAGGACATTACATTTTTTTCTTGTATGCTTTTTTGGTACTATATACTCGCTTTATATTGTCATATTTTTATATATTAAAGGAATAGTACACCCAAAACATGATTAGCCTTCATTTTCTACTCACCCCCATGCTGAACAACACTCTGGAGTACTTTTTTGATATCTCCAGTCCATCTGGAGATCTGGGAGGCT